AAGGATCAGGGCCAGTCCTGAAGCTTGGCTCTGATGATAGCTTTGATGTTCTCGATTCTTTCATGCCCAGGCCTGATGCCAAAGAAAACATTATGGTTTTACACAAACAGTTGTACAGGTACACAGCAAACTTTGATCAACAGGTCTGTAGGTGTGATGACCCAAATTTGATTGAGATATGCACCCATCGATCTATTGTAAAGAGAATAAGTTTTAACATCTGATCAGATTGTTATCAGGCCTTGCACCACGGTTCCGTTGAAACCGCATCAAACACCATGACGCTGTCCCCATCAAAGTTCCAGCTTCCACGATGGACCAGGCCTAGGCAGTTCAGGTGGTAAAAAAAAACAAGTCATGCACAGGAACATGCAATGAAACATGTAGTTTCCAAAGGGCATATATGACATGACAATGATGTACAAAATATGTGTTAAGCTTGGTTCAGGTAGGTACCACCTCCTGCTTCACATGATGCATGTCACAAAAGGAATATGTTTTTTTCAGCACATGAGAGCTAGATAACTAGATCGATCGATACATGTATGATATGTATCATATAATATATATTGTATAATATATTATTTTAATAAAATAATAATTAATATAATAATAATTAATAATAAATATAATATAATAATAATTAATAATTGTAATATATATTATACAAGTAATGAAAATATTATATTATATAAAATAACAATCATATTTATTATACAATAATGTCATGCTTAGTTTAATCCTGTCTTATTTACATGCACTAGCCGCAGCATACCCAGAAGTGTCTATATATGTATTCAACACCATTGCGCATCAAGTTGGTGCTTGTCGGTTTCCAGCCTCGTGTTGCTCCCACCGGCGCCACGGGTTCAACTTGTAGTGGCTGGATGCCCAACACAGAGCGGCCTGGCCAATGTAGACACGGGACACGGGAAAAAATAGATGGGAAGCTAAGCTAGCTAGGTTATATGATGATTCCATCGGACAGCAAACAATATCAAACATTGATCGGCAACCACAATCAAGACCTCACCTCGAGTTCCTTCCGTCGGGGAAGATCGTTGGCAAAGGAAGCCATGTATGAGAGCATCATCTCATAGTTGTGGTCACTCTGCACCTCCCAGATGGACCCCATCAAGTCCCAACTATGATTATCACACATGTTAATTTATATTTTATAATAAAATTAATTGATATGTTCATGACTAATTTGATTTCAGGAACAACCATTGAGTTTAAATTGTCTTAGGTGGCCTCACGCTCTGTGATGATGGACCGCTGACCCTCCAACACGATGAAGCGGAACTTGGGCACCTTAAATAAAGCTGTGGAAATGATGAGGGTGCATTGGGTAAGGTCGATAAACACTGTACTGCACTAGCATTACATGCGCAGCTTGTTGAGTTTCCATGCATGGATATCAGTTGAATTTAACTGAACAAATCAAAAGACAAACTGGGTCAATGACTAGCTTGACATCTTTATCGTTCAATCCAGCTCGCAAACGTAGTACCTTTCTACGATTCGAGATGAACTCCGCATCCTCACACAGGCTCTTCAACCACTCCTGGCAAGTGGGACCAGTCAGTCAGAGTGGGGACAAAATGGTTCAAGAATCACAGAATTACATATAAAATTTATCGTATTAGTAAATATATCATATTTATAAAGTAATTATTGTAACCATTTGAAATTATTTGGTATGACGATGGAAAAATCGACATAGCAAACATAAATTTTATATATTTTAATTTTATATAAACTATATCCTGGGAGTCCTCGACCTATAATTGCCTATAATAAATGTATGTCATATGTAATGCAATAATGACAGGTTCCAATGATGCTTGGATTGACCGAAACAATGCTCCCATACAGTGGGTAGTGCACCAGTGGACAAAAACATGTGCTCCTTGATCAAGGCTACCCTTTGAGCATTGAGCCTCTTAGGCGTGAACATCCATGGCTGGATCTCAGCCATAGTCAGCCAAAACCAAAATGTTGTCTTGACTTAGAGTGTCTTGTGTTCATGATGACGAGTTCTTGAATCCATGTTTTTGACCACTGGCAAGGCCAAACCCTACAGCCAAAAGAGGCTATGTAATTTCGACGATGACTGCATGCCGGTTTCTGTCAAACGTCTCACCGTGAGTGCAGAGAAACAAAAATCTGACCCAGGGAGGCATGGGCAAGGAAGGGTCGCACCCAAACACTCATCATCGAGATTGATGATGTCTTCGCCATTGAGACGCTCGATGAGACCTGGGAGCGACGGCAAAGTTATATCACGTATTATATAATGTGCAGGGAATGATCGATAAAATTGAAGAGTAAAATAGAACAACTCAGGTATGTGTGTTTTGAATGAATATTAATCATTGTGTTGATTGAGGATCAGGCCCTTTGCCAAAGCTCTCTTCATAGACCCATGGCTGGTAGCAGGTCTGATGTCAGTGACTGTTTTGTCATGTGTGGTCTGACCCTACTATTTCAAATTTTCCTGTACATAAATTGTCGAGTCAGCACTTGGTATCTGATCATGATTATTTAACACTAACCTTGCTGTGCCATGTGATTGGTGGAAGTGAGTTACAAGTAGATTTCATACCTCGTTTCTGAGATTAACTGGGTACTGTAAATCTTACCAAGGCCAATGTGTGGCATGGCACCTTTGCATCCCACATGGGCCAAAATGGCCTTGAACCCCTCACATTGGACACATGATGTAGGCAATGTACCTGCCAGGGGCAAACAAAGGTCGTTACCCTACAAACAAAGGTCGAATCCTAAAGACCTTTGTTTGAAAGGTCGAGGACTCCCAGGGTATATACATATATAAAAAGACGCCTGGCTTTGGAGACGAAGGTCCGCCAAAGGATTCTTGTGGAAAAGCCTGGGGGCACTTTGTTCCAACTTCAAGCGTTGAAACGTGACCCACATGCAGCCTTGACCAAAAAAAAGCCATAAAGTGCTGCGAGGGTTGCCCGAAATCAACTTCCTCGGTAGCCCTTCCATGACTTTAAGCCTCTTCAATCAATACATCCCCAATGAAAAATGTCGAAAACATGAGGTTTTGACAGCATTCGATTTTGAACCCTGTTTCAAGACGGTTGTAACTGCACGCCATCCTCAAGGCGCTGTCACCATGTTTGACTCAGAATATCAACAAGCTGCTGTGTTCTCTTTTTGATGGTTTGCGATATTGTCGGGAATACTTAAGATGTTTCTGTCTGAAATGTGGTGAGGCCTGTGCATCTGTATGGGCTTTCAATTCGGCCACGTTCACAGATGCCGAATTGGCTTCGTGATCGTCTAAGTCATGCTTTGGCAAGAACATGTGAGTCAGGTGACATGACTGAATTGTTCAATCTCATATATGGTCTTGTGATGTCTTGTGCTAGATTCTTAGATGCAGAGAACACATGATGAGCATGCGACCTTGTAGAACGTTCACTGCGCCTCCTTAGAAAGCCAAGAGAGACTTGAAGGGATGATGGCAAACCAATGGCAAACTGAGACTATGACAACTGTCTAGCAGTCAAGCAGGGAGTTGCCTAAACTCAATAGCGCTGTTGGTGCTACACCTCCAAGCCACATGCTGATCCAGTTAGCATAGCATAGACCTCAATGTTTATCAAATCAATCCAACCTTTCAAACCGTTTGGATATAGATGCACAGGGGCTGATTCCATTGTGCAGAATCATTTCTGGCTCTTCGAGGCAGCTGTGGTGATGATAGCAAGGTGATGTTTATATGGCAGTACTGACGATGGTGAGAAAAAAATGCTGGCGATGATAGTGGCAATGATAGTAGAAGCAAGAAGAAAACGAGGAATACAGAAATAATAAGGAGCAGAAGCAGGAGGAGAAGGATAGGGAGATGCAGAAGGAGGAGGAGAAGGAGAAGGGGAAGGAGAAGACAGCAAAACATAAAAAGGAAGGTTGTGGTGATGATCAGGATGGGACGGATGATGATGATGATGATGATGTTGATGATGATGATGATGGTGATGATGGCGACGACAGCGACGACGATGATGACTAAAAGGATGATGCATTTGACCATGTACTGTATTGATGGTGCTAGCATTGTGCTAGCAATGATGCAGATTGACTAAGAAACAATTTAGCGTAGCAAGGGTGTTTGTCAGCTTTGCTGCAAGGTGTGTGAAGTCACGAGTACTGCGTCAGGGTGAGGCGCCTTGAGCTTGGCAATCAAAAAGCAATCGGTTCGGAGCCCAAAACTCTCCCCCATACAACCATTGCATTTGCAGTCTTTGTCTAATATATGGTGAGTCAAACATGTTCGGCAGGTACTAGACCAATCTACTTCCTTGCCCCCACACTTGCAAAGGAAGGAGGAGATACGGTACTTCAAATTTGAGACAGCTAGGCTATTTGCCGACAAAGAATCATGCAGATCCTGTGTGGTGGCCAGGACTCCTATTTCGATGTCGCGGGTCGAAGTGAACCAGAAATCATTCTGGAACTTTCTGACAGATTTGTACTTCGAAAGCCGTCCTGCTCTCAGGAAAATAATCTTCTGGGCTGACTACCAATAGTCTTTGAGTGTTTTTCAGATCATGGGGGCAGGTTTTATTTCTTGTTTGATCGAAATTGCACGAGTTTGCTCGAGGTCTGGCTGGGAGGGCGCCTCAGTTGTGACTGATTCGTACTGTTCCCAACAGTTGAACGACAAAAGTGGCAATTTGTGGCACATGTGGCTGACTGCAAGCATTTGAGTTCTCGTTGTGCAATTAGTTCATGATGCAAAGTCATTCCTTCAAGCTAAGGACATCCAAAGGAGTGGTCAGGAGTCGAACCAGAAGAATTTGAAGGACCCGCAGAAACATCATGAAAGATCATGAACTTCTGATGAACTTCTGATGAGCCATGAATCTGGATGAATCTGTCCTCATTTATTGGATTGGTTCGGTGGCTTGGCTTGCAAGTGGCAGGAAGTCCCAACCGTCCCAACCCTGCAAAACTTCCTCGCTTCAATGTCTGGAGCTTGGAAGGCCGGCTTTGAGCGTGAGCGGAGAGGTCAAGTGAGCGAGGGATAGCAAGGGTATATAATCATATGTCAAAATGTTACCTGTTGGGCAGATTTGGGCAGCAGATTGTGACAAAGGGTTGTTGGTTTGAAACCGAGCCAAGGCATGGACCGCCAATCTTTGGTGATAAAGGTCACCAGTTTGGAATGCCACTTGTCCCTTGTGATTTTGCAGACATCTGGTGATTGACGTTGCAATATGTTGCAATATCTTACAATCTGATTGTACAGCCCTGCGTACGTCACTCTTGAGTGTCCAAGCCATGTCGTGGCACCACAGCACCATAAATGGCTCAAGATCAGTAACAGAATGCTTTGTTACTTTTCTCTTTGGTTCGCAGCGGAAAGCTAGATTTGCTTGTAGCATCGGCAGTTAGGCTACCATGAAGGCACCGTCATCAAACAAAGGATACACCGCTTGGACGTGCCAAACTCTGGGCTCCTACTGGTGGCCAAGTCGTGATCGCCATAGTTCTGGAAGTTGTGACGACTGTGACGACTGTCGTTCCCACTTGTTTGGAGCTTGAAAGAGCTTTAGATGGGTGAAAGATGGCTGAAAGTCTCAGCAAGGCTTGAATAGTCCTATCTTTTGGGTTCCTTTATTGAGCACCCTTTCAGGTTACCACTGTTGACTTGCAAGGTACAGGGCATACTATGACCTCATGTTTCAGATGAATACAGGTATGGCATGAAGCTCAGACTGGGCCCAGTCCAGGTGAGTGAGGGGTAATCTTGACTGTGGACAGCTCTGGACAGCAATCCAAGTCGTAAGGTTCGCCGCGACTACATTGTGCTGTGTCATGGTTGGATACCGCGGTCGTGTCACAAGCGGTTTGGCTACAATTTAGATCAATCGTGACAATATCATCAGTCCATAAATATTATATATAAAGTGGACTGAGCACGAGAGGGTGTTGACAACTGCAAAGGGCAAGTTCTGATTTTCTGGATTCCGGTTTGTGAGTGTCATCGACCTTCCATACGCTAAGGATTCTTGCGCCGCTTTTTTGGTGCCAGAATGGTGCCCCAAGCAGTGTCAGACGCCATGGCAAGCCAGCAAGAACATTCTTGAAGGTGCAGAAAACACAGAGCACTGAGAAGATTTGTATCCATTTGAATTCTTGAATGTTTACGCTGTATGATGATAGTTTGCTCTTTTAAGCATTACCACGACGTTGGCATCTTCCTGTTCGTTTGTACAGGTGCTTTCACATTTGGTTCATCAGCCAGGAGGGGCCGCATTCTCAAGTGAGGCAGGTTTCAGCAACATGAGAAATCAGAAAGGCAGTCGTGGAGGCCCAGTGAAGGCCTAGCAGAGGCCTAGCTAGTAGAGGCCTAGCTCGTAGAGGCCTAGTTAGTAGAGGCCTAGTTAGTAGAGGCCTAGTAGAGGCCTAGTTAGTAGAGGCCTAGCTCGTAGAGGCCTAGTTAGTAGAGGCCTAGCAAGTAGAGGCCTAGCTAGTAGAGGCCTAGCTAGTAGAGGCCTAGTAGAGGCCTAGGTAGTAGAGGCCTAGTTAGTGGAGGCCTAGTTAGTAGAGGCCTAGTTAGTAGAGGCCGAGTTAGTAGAGGCCTAGTTAGTAGAGGCCTAGTAGAGGCCTAGTTAGTAGAGGCCTAGTAGAGGCCTAGAGGCCAACACTGAGCTTAGGACTCCTACAGCCTTGTGGAAGTTTCAATCGATACAGGCACGCTGCAAATGCAAAGACGCCGCCTTGTTCCAACTTTTCAGTCGGGGCGCATGCCCTATGTCCCGCACCCTATGCTGCGTATGCATGTGATGTGATGTCAACTCTGCAGACTCCAGACGTGGGATTTTTCTGCATGTTCTTTTGACTCCCATGCTCAAACTGCACCAGAGCCAGCAAAAGGGGGTGGCGCCCCCTTCCGCCTTCTCTGATTCACCACAATCCTGTGCTTTCCTCACTTCCCCTCCCCTGTGCATGCACATGAAGTGTTATAGAAGGATGGTTGCAATCTTTTGCAATCTTCTGTGTTGAATGGAAGAAATTAAGCAGTATTCTTCAAATCCAACAGTCGTAGTGCTAGTCAAGTCAAGTTGGTTTTGTTTCTGGTTTCCAGGCAGAAGACACCAAATACGAAGCCACCTGGCCTTCATAGGTCATCCGCTTGTAGGCTGCTCGGCTTCTTCAAGAAAACAAGCAGGATATGGTGGTTGATCTAAAGGTCCTTGTAAGGAGTTTTAATTGCGAAAGCCGTGCATGTTATGTTGGAAACCCTCGCGAAAGTTTTTTTTCGAGCTCGCGGAAGAGAATTTTTTATTCGCGAAAGTTTCGCGAAAGTTGGATATTATGGATCATTATCATTGTATACATTACAGCTTGTTCAGGGCTACCACCTCCTGCCGCCCGGGGGCCCAGGGGTCCGGCAGGAGAATGGTACCGCACATTTACCTTTCCCTTCATAGGTAGCAGCCAAGCTTCCGAAGGTGAGGCTTCGCCACAGCCAAATAATATACCATGATTTTGAAGCACATCCTTGCACCTGCCGCTGATACTGCCTAGCGTTGCTTTCTGAAGTCTCAAGAAACAAGCCCCACATGCAGCAGCCAAGCTTCCAAAAGTGAGGCTTTGCGAGAGCCAAACACCAAGGCCCCTAGTGTTTGCGGTTCCTCTGATGCGCCCCCTGCTGATGGCTGGGGTCCGCAGATAGGGGCATTTTCGCGAAAGTTTTGCGAGAGTTCTGCGAAGGACTGGGCAAAAGTCAAAGTGCATTTTGAAGGAGTGGCCCAGTAAGCATTGCAAACAAAATCGCCTAATCAATAATAACCTGTCCTGAGAAGGGGAGATTCCGTGATGCTAGCTGCATGTTTACAAGGCTATGAAGAAGTTATCCATGATAATTCGGTGTGATTTGGCAGGTGCTGAATGAATCTTCATAAGAGGAGTTGTTGCTCAACATGGTTTCCACGAAAGATAAACAAGGAGCTCGTGAAAGATCCGCTAAAGATAGTTTTTTATTCGCGAAGAATGGCCGTTCCCGGATAAATGAGTTTTGACCAACCACCATATGTGCATACACATGCATACACAGTATATCTATATATACATATATATACATATATATATGTTTCTCAGTATATAAAATTATACATATTTAAATAAATCAATAAATATATATATATATAGATATATAGATATACAGTATTATACAGACATGTTATATATATATATGTAAGCATTGAAACCCTGTATTCTTGATCAGTCTAGCAGCAACCTTTTGGATTAATGACGGATTCAGAGGCTATGGTCAGTCACCTGGGGGTTGACAGGTGATGCCAAATACTCGAGCTCGGCAACCTTTCAAAGCGATCACACCCTGTGCAATCGCAACTTCCTCCATAGTCGCTTGATGTCATGGCTTTGGCCGTGTGTTTGTGATACCATTACTGTAATACTTTTTGGTTCTTTTTACTTCAGTGAGCAATTTTTATCCGTTGGTGGCATTTCCCAACAAGAGCTTGTTGTTCTTTCCCATCTTTGTACGCCTCAAATTTTGCTTCACTATTTTGCGCATCGTCTTGAACATCTTGACCATTAGGAGTTCGCCTGTCTTTCCTTGATGTGGAGGGCAAACCAGTCGAGGCGGTCCGTGGGATTCAGTGGGCATAGTGCATTCGTCTCAGTAGAGACATTTCATGACCAGGAGATCGTTGCAACTCCAAGTGACCTTAGGATTCTCAAACCACATCCAGACCTGTTTGAAGTGTCGATGGGTTTTTCTGGACTGATTACCCGCAGAAAGTAGTCATAGAATATATATATATATATATTATAAATATATACAGTATATATATATATATATTATATTCCATTTCAAATCTCTCAGCAGAGGTCTGAGTTGGGAATGCATGTTGAGAGTTTGATGTGAAACTTACTCTAGCTGCACAATTGGTACTTTGTGCACCTTCATGCTCACTACTGTCAGCGACTCACCAATCCGAAGGTAGCTGATGCATTGCCACCTGACTTGCAGCTTGCACTGTCCGCCTTGGAAGCAAAGGACAGTGGGGGGGACAAGGATTCTGGTTTGTGCCCTGGTCGTGGCTGGATGCGGGAATGATAGGGAATGATCGGAATGATGACATCCCTGTCCCAGGGCGTGTTTGTCCCAGTGGCCAGTTGGAGGACAATGACTCAGCCATGTGGAAGCCACAGTGGTGCTGATGCTTTAACTGAAGCCCACGTGCAAGGCGTTATGCGAGGCGTCGGGCTGTGGGAGCTTCTCGACGTCTTTCCCAAACCTGGCGCAAGAACTAGTTTGAGTGAACGCACATCAGCGTGGCACTACTGACACTACTGACTACCAGTAGGATGAAATGTAGAAATGTTACTTCAACCAAGAAAATTGTCTCAGAGGACCCAGAGGCAGTGACGTTCACCTTTTGCCGACCTCATCTTCCAAAAGTGCTCCGCGCCTCTCATTTACGATTTTATGTGATCAACCACTAGATGATGATGTGGTTGACATATGAAACCGAGCTCTCGCTACAGTCTCGTCCCCATAATTGTGTCAGCAGGTTTAGTCAACATGTCAAGGACGACTTTACAAGAAGTTGATCCAAAATGATCCAAAGATGCAAAGCAGCCCAAAGCAAATATCAGAGCAATCAATGCTGAATCTTGGACAAGTAAAAAAGGAGGGAGCGGCTGAGAAACATCTTTTATTTTCCTAAATTCAAAAGTAAGAAAAGTGAAGCTGAATCAGCAACTGACTGCATGAAAGTTTGCTCCAAACGTGTCAACTGTGTCAACGTCTACACTGTCCTGTCACAAAAACTTAATATAGTGTACAGTGTACACATATGTTCACTTAGCAAATCTTAGCAAAACATGTAAGACAATGTAAGAGTCATGTAAGAACAGTTGAAAGATGTGATAAATTTGAGCCTGCAGCTCAGATTCTTGAACGCTGAAAGCACTGGACTGCATGTGATTCTTGACAACCTGACAGTACTTTTGGTTTACGGTTGTTTGTTTTAAGACTTTTTGCATGCCATCAAAGATATTCAAAGATCAGAAGTGCAAAACTTCTGCTTTTGAAAATCTTTGCAGATAGGCCACTACAAATCGCCCACAAGCAGCGTCTAGCAAGCGGGCACGGTCCAAAGTGGCAGCCCAATCTTCAACCTGCTTTGACCTTAAAGCATCTTAGAGCCAAACAGTCAAACTGCCAAATGAAGCGAATTCTTGTGAATTTCTACCGACGCTTTTCATGTGGGTATCGGTTGCAAATTCAGATCTCGAAATCATGAAAGAGTATGTGTATCTTAAGATCCGCGATTGACAAGCACTTGAGGCCCTGCGTGTGGTGAAGAAAAGTGATCAACCGCTGAAGTAGGAGCGCAGGACGAGAGTGGAGGCAGGTAGAGTCCGAGACTGTCCAAATTGATCCAAATTGTACCATCCAAATCCATATATACGGTAGATAGTCTATATATAATTATATAATATTATATAACTGTCTGTCAGGAGTCTTGAGACGTTGACGAGATCTCATCGCGTGAATGAAGATGAAGTGGTTATCAAAGCAGCCATGGCCGCTGTGGCCAGAACTGTTATTGCACCAGCTTTGTCTTGACACCACAAGTATGCTGCTCTGGCACTTGCAAGCCCTGAACTTGCTTTGCATGTACAGAAGTAGCACTCAGCAAGACCGTCTCACTATCATTCTCTCCGGAGCATGACTGAAGCATCTTTGTTGGAAGATTGGCACGCTGAAACCTTTGTACCATACATGTTTGTTCCGTGTTTGTTGGCTCTCCTGTTTGGCTTCACTGCGAAATTCACCGTGCCATGCACGCAGGCATGGGAAAACAGTGTCCACGGAGGCTCCACCGTGGCACGGAAAGGCCTGCAAAAAATACCCTCCACCAGTGACTTTCTGCTGCTCTGTACCTCACAGATATGACTAATTTGAATTATATATATATAATTTGATCCAATTTGCAAATGTAGCATAATGATAGAGAACTCTATAGAACTCTCATATGCTCTCGTTGAGAACTGCAGGCTTTCGACTAGACAAGTCTGGTTGTATCAGGTAATTCGGGGCAATTCAAAGTATATAATTCAGCTGATGATGGCTCAACGCTGCAGAGGCCTCTCTGAAGATGTTGTCAGCATGCTCAAATGCCTTGGAAAGCACTTTCCCGAAGAGGCCCTTCATTCCTTCATGCTGGCTAGAATGCCTGAAAATGCAAAGATAATGTGCCGGATTCTATCAGCTGATGTGAATCTCAATTTCACTGTCACTTATCGACGAAGTTCGTGGACTGCACAATCATGTTGTATTGTGTCGGAGCTCCCTCAGATCCCTCACACTGTACCTGCCAACTTCCATTTGCAAATGTAACATCCTGCAGGTGTCACTAGATCGGGTACGAAGCTCAAAAAGACAAATGCACACAGGGAAGGACATCGGACATTAAGACTATCTGTGACTATTTTCAAAGAACTTTGCTGGCCCCACAAAAGAGTCTTTGTTGTTTCTTGTCCTTCTGTTGAGTGAATCAGGTTTTGGGTGCAAAAGCTCCCAAGAAGCAAAGAACCGTTGCAGACGACGCTGCAGAGATTTTGGAAGCGAGTCACTACCAGGAGCTTTTTGATCGGTTCATTGCATGCACCTTTCTTTGGTTTACGGATCATTCGCACAATAGCATTGTGCCTGCTGAAACAACCGCCCCTTCAGATGCTACTCCTGTTACTCATGCTGGTAGGTATGCTCAAGTAAAATTGACGTGCGCGAATAAATGTGCAAGAGATACATAGATACACTATGCTACACTGTTTGTATCTGTTTGTTCTAGCACATTTCTTCAAATTAGATGCAGCTTGAGACCGAGCTTGAGCCACAAGCTGCACTTCGCACACAACGCCGGCCAGCAGAGCAAATCGACCGTGTCATCTTTTTCAATAATATTCTTTGCTTGTGTGCTGCTATGTGCTCCTGCCGGGGTGAGTTAAGTATCTCAATGAGTCTCAATACTGTTGCGGATATTTGCAGACTATATATTATATCAACTGTGTATATACAGTGTGTATATATATATATTCATTCTACAATCATGTGTGCACATACAATCACAATCGATTCAATCAATCACTTCTTTATCGAATAGTTTCTTTCTGCTTTCTGTAGGGGGCTGATGCCGTGTAAGGATGGCTGAGGTCATGCTGAAGTCAGCGCTTGAGTCGCTTAAGTATTTTGCGTAGAGTTCGACCAAGTGGGAACACTTCATAGCCTTCATAGCTAATAGCTTTGGGAAGTCAAACAGACCTTGTGACCTTGTGATATTCGGAAGCAAGAGACAATAAGACTTAAGACTTATTAGATCTTATTAGTACTCAGCACATGATCTAGACCCACTATAAATAAGAGACAGCAAGAGACAAGACCAGAGAAAGACTATTTGGAGGCCATGATGTCTTTGGCTAGCTGCACTCACTATCCTGGAATGACATTGACCGAAGGAACTGAACCTCCAGAGCATCCTCAACATAGTCTACCTATGTCCTCTAGTAACTCTGCCTTCTGTTGTGTGTCGCTGTGTGCAATTGGTGTCTGCAATTATCAGCGCATCAGCGTATAAGATCGCTCATCCTGTCTCTGGTGCCAGTTCGCAAGTTTGCAAATGAAAAATATCGAAAAATGTCTTTCGTGCATCCCTGCAAGCGAAACAGTTGCTGCCTATATATTTTTTAATTTGCACATAGAATGGAGAATTAGATAGAATTAGCAGTCTGACATTGAAAGCTCTTCGAGAACGCTCTAGAGGATCAACACGATTTACTTGGAAGGCAACTCTCGTTCTCTTGATTCTTGCTGCCAGAAAGCTACACACCAACAGGAAAACTAGATAGACAGCCAATGTCAGCAACAATTAGCACACGCACACACATATGTAAGATATGCCCCAACATGTCGATGAGGAATGTCTCCTTCTGAGGCTTATTTGTGGACCACAGACTCGAACAAACCGAAATAAAACTGCAAAGTCCTCCAAGTTGCCTCCAATCCAAGTCTTCGCGGTAAGACTTGGAACCGGCTTTGGTGCCAGGAGATGCCAATTCTGCCCACTTCAGCAGAAATGTCGACAGCCTCAGAGTTTACTGTCACTGGTTGGACACCGACGGACACCCACAGACAACATTGGGAAACTTCGTTGAATGCAGCACTGATATCTCCTGAACTGATGTTGGCTGTTTCCAGTTTAATCCAGCCCCAAAATTTGCTTTCAGGATTGGCCATTGCGCGTTTGAGGTTCAGGACGGCCATTGAGAAGCATTGTACTGTACTGTGTGTTCAATTAATTTTGTTTCAGATTGGTACTGGTTAAAATGCGAGTTTAAGCTGCATCTTTACAGTGACGTAGTCTCAACATGCAGAAAAAGTGGACAAATCAAAATGACGATGTTTGAAAAAAAAGCACAAACATGACATCCTTCTCATGCTCGTAGTAAACCAGTTGGTCAGGATGAAATTGTATGTGTGTGCAGCTACGTTTTGGTTTGCACAAAGTTGTACAAAAACGGTCTTGATTCAAGAGAAAGGTATAGACAATCCGAAGCTCAAACCAACACATCTCAAACATACCCAAACTATCTCAATATCTTATACTGGTCATCCCGGAAAAATGTGTTTGCCAGACTGAAGTTTGTTGAGAGCAGCATTATCTTTGGGATCTCGAGCATCTGTGAAATCTTGACAAATTACAATCAATTTCTTGTGGAACCACACAGAAAGTCATAGAAAGTCATAGACAGTCTAAAAAACTAGAACCATCTCCCTACAGTATATCTTTTCATTATCTTTTCTTGACGTGCTTTTCGTATCTTTTCGTCAGTGTGAGCAGTTTCTGTTCAGCCAGTTGTCAACATCCTCAGAGTGTAGTTTAAGACTCAGCTACAAAAACCACACAGCGCTGCGGTTACAGCTCCATTTTTGTTTGAACGCGTCATCAACTGCTGGTGCCCCCGCGGGATGATTATGATATGGCTGTGACGAAAGTTTAACAGCAACAAGCTAGAATTAATAAGTCAACACATTCTTTAAATCATCATGTGTAGAAAGTACGCCTTTCAAAATCGTACAGAACATATTGGACACATGCTTTCTGAAAAACAAAACGCAATCTCAACCTATCTCAACTACTCGAATCCATTGTTTAGTATTGCTGTACTGTCTCAGAGACAATGTTTCATTCGTGGTTTTGCCTGAAAACATGGAGAGCTGAAGCTGTTTAGGCTTAGATTCAAGCCTCCTGGTTCAGATTTATCTTGTTCTCAGGAGAACATGCAGACGTACGAAAAATGCGTGGACTACATCCAAACCCACTTCATGCTTTTGCGTGAGGAGCTGCTTTTGGAAAGCATCAGAATGAGTAAAACTGACTGGGACAGTTGATTTTCATTAGCATTAAATTATCCTGATTATATATTATATACAGTACAGTAATATATTTCATTCATTCGAAGACACGGAATTTCAGAGCTTGCTTTTGAGGACTACATCGAGCCATTGCGAGCTGGAATCAAACTCTTCATGCAAGGGCGTCACTCACCCAAGGAGACTTGACAAGTCCAAAGTGTGTGACTGTATGTTTTTTTTTCCCCCAGTCATGTTCAGTCACATTTGGTGGCGTACAACCTTCCGCCGTTCACTTGTAAGAACATGCAAGAAGAACAGATTTCCGCTGTTTCAGTTTGTGCCAACTCAAGCGAATGATTACCCTCTTCCAAAATCTTGAGCTGCATTTGTTGTTCCACTGTGGTTTATGCACATTTCCCTCCATCATATGGATCATCCTCTACTGTATTTGCACAGATATATAGATAGATTAGATTAGATTAGATCAGATCAGATCAGATCAGATAGATTAGATAGATAGATAGATAGATAGATAGATAGATAGATAGATAGATAGAAGATAGATAGATGGATGGATAGATAGATAGATAGATAGACAGATAGATAGATAGATAGATAGATAGCTAGATAGATAGATAGATAGGTAGGTAGATAGATAGATAGAGGCGAACGCAGTTGTTGTGTACATACATCCTCCACACATGGGATACACAGGTAATCACAGGTAGATCTCTACGCCTGCATACACATCTACACGTATCCTGATGCCTGTATACAGGCAGGCAGGGGGGGCATACAGAGAAAACAATATGTATACTATGGACAGACTGATAGGCAGACACAGGGATGTATAGATGGATCCATGCATATTAATCCACGTTTCAGTTAGCATTTTTACTTGTCACTTTTACATCCATTTATTACTGTAATACATAGATACAGAGAGCCATAACAACATACTAACAGCATATAAGACAACTGGAACACAATGCAAGTTTGCACAACATTACACCACAGTACCGGCAGGCCAGCAATGCAATGCAATGCCACGCAATGCAATGCCACGCAATGCAATGCAATGTACTACGTACAACACATGTGTACATACATTTCCACACATGACTACATGGATACAAACGCATCAAAACTCAGTACGAGATCTGTGGCTTTTTTGTTTGGCAGAATTCAGAATCACAGGCCACGGCGTAGACGAAAGAAAGACATCAAATGCACACTCAGAAAGCTTTAGCTTAGGCTTAGGGCCTAATCTCACTTACAGAGATGCTTCATGATGCTTCCATCCAATTTGACAAGATTTGGCAAGGAAGATCCTTAGTGAAGACCAGGAAGTGCTGAGTGTTTTTCGATTGTTATTTGCCCTCTTCTCATTCGTTTTATGCAGTCCTTGTCATCGCGAGTGAAGCATTTGTTCATGTCCAGTCAGAAGCAAAGCCATCTCTCATATTCTAAAGTAATCTATGTATACTTCACTTCCATTCATTTCCACCATTGGCCATTGGTCAATCTACCTGTCTCACAGATCATAATCGATGTGAAGTTTTCTTGCAATGCACCTTGGCGGAGGATCTCCATGTCTACACGGGTGTGAAGGCACTTGCCAAATATGCGGATCAGCGTTCAAGAGCTTCAGAGAACTAAGAGACAGGCGACGATTGATAGGAACAATCCACACCACAATTTCAAATGAAAACCGCCCCTGTTTTGGTTGACTTTCAACTTGATTGACAGGGACAGTGTGATAATACATAGTAATATATAATAATATAATATAGACTTGATATAATGTGAGATTTGACAACTTTGAGCCTTGATCGGGTTCTAGATCGGCTTCAAAAGACTGCTCTTCGGCCTGGATCGTGAGCAAACATGCTATCCTGCGGTTTGCAGTACTCGCAAACCTGTTATGTCAACACACTCTATATCAGAATTATCTCTGCCCTATCAACAGCACCACTTGTCAAATCTTGTCAACAATGCTTGTGCTGTGTTTCTTCCCTAAGTGTTGCGACAGGTTGTGGGCGTTCTGAGTACCTGGGAAGGCAGAAAGCTTAGAGCACAGCATCGGTTTTGTTTCTTTGAGAAAACCAATACTTCAGAGAGAAGGTAGAGCGGGAGAGAAAGGAGTGCCCGCAAGCAAGTTTGCCTCAGCATTTCCAGTCACTTCAAGGAATTTCAGATAGTGCCCAATGATCCCAATGGTTGAGTCCAACAGAATTGAAATGTGGTAGATGATGAAGAAAATGCAACAAGATTCAAAGACTCAGACATTCTCCCACCGGAGGGGAGGCTGTTCTTTGCCATGATGCCTGTGTCAAGATAGGGTGACTTTGCTGAGGGCTGGTGTATCGCATCGAGCTTCGTCCGGAAGAGGAGTCCTTGATTTTGTTGATTCAAGAGAAATCAAATGCAATCAAAAGCAAGCCACTGTCTCTCGTTGTTGCCAAGCAATTGGCAGCGATGATCCTTCATTGACAGACCCGGAAGATCAATTGGGAGAAGTCGAAGCAGCTGATGTGAGCCCTTTCAAACATGGGTTTGCTGTCGCATGTTTACGACATGCTGTACAACCTGCTATTCGATGCTACTCGTGTATACTAGGAACAGTATGCACTTCAGTGAAAGTGCACCAATCGCGGTGAAAAGCACACATTTCATCATATTTCAAGAATTTGCAACTCGTCCAAAGCTCGTCCAAGGTACGGCAGCTTGTTGTGCTTTTCAGATGATGACTTCTCATCCCTGATTTGGGCAACAGTGACTCGCTCAGGATTGAGATACCCGGCTTACAGCACATGCCGCTTGCAGTTTGAGCAACTTGTTATTTGATTTTTTCTCATTTACTGTATTAATTCTATTTATTGTTTGCTCAGAAAGACATCCTGCACGAACAGGTTTGGCGGCGAGATCCGGCGCTGATTTCTGGGAAGGCGTGCAGAACAGAAAGACGTTGATCTACTCATCCCCAAAATGCAAAAGAGGACACTCTGTCTCCAACAGCCGGGTCAGGTCCCTCTTGGTCCCTCTTTTGTTGTAGCATTCAAAGAC